TTGCAGATACTCCATGAATGTTGAACTCATCCTCAACCTAACAAGGAAGGATAAAAAACTTCTCAAACACTAATGTTTGCCTAAAGGAATTTCTAGATAATCCTTCATTTATCAGAACAATATGGATACATTGAAATTAATTATTTCAAGTAATAGCTTCAGGATAGTTGCAGAGTGCAGCTGATGAGGGGTAACATTAGGAAAATGGGCATGTAACCAGAGAAGGGGAAGGTCTTTCCTTCCATCTTTTGAAACAGTGTGTTTAGAACATCTGTTTCCTACTGTTTTGTTTAAACCAGTGTGTTTTCAGTACCAGTGTATTCTGCTTAGTTTAACTAAGTATTAGTATAACAGGTAAGTGCATATTTAGCTTATGCTTTAAAATCTTTGAAAAACGAATTAAACTGAATTTTGTTCAAATAATCTTTTGATTTTTCTCTTTCTCATTTCTCGCTCCCCCCAGGTCTTCTAACATTTATAAATTGTGCCTACGTTAAATGGGGAACACGAGTGCAGGATGTATTTACTTATGCTAAAGTTGCTGCTCTTATTGTCATCATCACAACTGGACTTGTTAAAATATGCCAGGGTAAGCTTATATAATTGAAACAAAGGTTTGTATTTATCAGTTAAACTGAATAACTGGTCTAAAGACTGTAAAATACCTCTGTATGTGTTACCCGATGCCTCAGTGCATAATATAGGCACTTTGAAAACACCAATAATACCAATGTTGGGCATTATCATGGTATTATATCATGAGAAGCTACCCTATCTGAGTTGACTTTGAACTGCATAAAAGAAGATAACTGATTGCTCAGCAATGTTGTGCAATTTACGGCCTGCAGTATGGAATAATAAAGGGAATGGAAACAGCAAAATACAGAGCTAGCAAAATATAATGGGAGCGGAGAAAGCTGTAAATTTCTGTAAGGAGCATACTACTTCACAATGAGATCAACTGAATGTTTTTTTTACAAAATGTATTTTGTGCATCTTAAAGCAAAAATAGATTTGTAAGAACATGTAAGTAGATTTGTGAAACAGCTGCTCTTTTTTTGATCACATCCTGAGTTCTGTTATAGCTGTTGAGAATTAGAAGGTTGCTGGGGTTTTGGATTTTTTACTTTTTTTTTTTTTTTTAATTTGTCTGTGTTGGGCATTGTGCCTTCAAGTTAGAGGAACTTTTGAACTTAGTTTTGTTCTTGGCCCTTCCTTTGGGGAGAATTTATTGGTGTGTTAGCTTAAAAAAAGAAAAATCACCCTACTTTCAAAGCTGCAATAAAAGTCTTTCCCTGGCAGTCTGGTAGTTTGTGTCCTTTGCTCTAACCAATTATTGTAGAAAGTCCATGAGCAAGGTAATTATTGTGAACTGAACAAGAATACACATATGTGAGCACCATGCTGGAGTGTTTAATCCTTAGCACATCTGCCCATCTCTTGGTTTGTTCATACTGAGCTCATTCACTACTGACTTCATTGATGTTTTCTCCCTTCTCTGTTTCTAACTCAGCAGTTACTCTGCCAACGTCTGTGCCAAGGGAACAGCAATGTCTGATTAGGATAAAAAGTAGGGAAGAGAAATAAGTGAAGATATTTGAGAGGCCTCAAATATTTGCCTGACCAGATTTGATGAAGTCTAGACGTTTCAGGTTGCAAGTACAGGGCACATTTTGGAGTTATATAGTAACTCACCTTTCTGTATTCAGTGTTCGTGTGTGTGTATATGTAAAACAGTCTGAATATATAAAACTGCCATTGCTGAGCTTGTCTTGACTTGCTTAAATTCAAAAGATGGCACAAGTTCTCACAAAAACTGGTGCAAAAAAGCCATACACTTTTTCTCTTAGCTTGGGAAAATTTCATCTCAAATGACAATAATATTTTATGTTCTGTTAATTGTTTTCTGTTTTTAATAGCTAAAACTTAAAAATCCATTTAGGTTGGGGTTTTCTTTTGGTCAGTTACCTAAAACCGACTGTAATCTCTGCTTTCTGCATAAGCTAAATAATTGAAAATTTAAAAGGATATAGAAGGATAGAGTGGATTTTTTTATGCGTATATATTATAAAAAATACCCTTAGCCCGAGTACTGTCATTGCCAGTGGTTTGTAGCTTAGTCTGAACTTAATGTTCCTGAACTTTTTGTTCCATTGTGGACAAACTAGGTGTTCAATTATAGAACAGTATCATCCACAGAGCATAATTTTTGGTGGCTTAGATGCCATGCTTATTCTCATGGCTGAAGCACAGAGTAGAATTGGAAAAAGGGCTTAATAAGCAGCTTTGACGGAATTAGGATTTCGGTGGGGTTTTTGCCTTTGTGTGCCAATTGGAAAAAAAAAATGACTTGCTGTGTTTTATTATCCTGTACTTCATTGCATCTCTTCCACACACAGGATATTCATCACACTTTGAGAACTCCTTTGCGGGATCCTCTTTTGATATTGGAGACATTTCCCTTGCACTCTATTCTGCCTTGTTCTCTTACTCTGGGTGGGATACACTCAATTACGTAACAGAAGAGATCAAAAACCCAGAAAGGTAAATTATTTGAGCTTTCTAAACCTGGGTGGTTCCCAAGTTGCTTGGTTTGTGGCTGTCTTTCACTAGTGAGTCCTGAGCTTATGAACAGAACTGCTCTATACTTAGATGGTAAGGCTGTGAACAGCCACTAGCAAAGATTTAGTTTTAAACTCCATTAAAAATGAAAAGGAAAAAAAAAAACGTTTAAAAAAAATAAGATGCTGTATAAGCTTTCAGTTCAAGATGTTCCTACTATTTGTTACAGTAGGTGTTAATATTGCAGTGAAACTTGTTACATAAGTGTAGTCTGTGCTGTGTTTATCTGTGCAATAATTCTGATTTCATAATTAGGAATGTTATCTTTTCCATGAATGTATGCTCTAAAAGTGTGACTGACTAATCTTGTTTAGTTGTGAGTCTGTAAGCAGACACCTTTATGTTAAAAATAGAATCCCCTTTGATCATTTTTACTTCCTATTATAAGCAACAGCTCAGATTGCTTCAACCGAAAGATAAAGAATTATAGATTTTTTTTTTTCAATTCTCCCAACTGATTTTGACTTTTGCATTTGTTCCATTAGCCCCGAGTTCTATGCTGTGCATTTATTTAACCAGGAAAGTTATCTATTAAAAAGATAAAATAGCGGATAAGTATTTTAACTCTAAAAATAGCTATTTTTAGTCAGTCTGAATTTCAGATTGACAGTATTCCTTTAAATTGTCTTGCAAAGATTTGTTATGCGTATTCAGAAGAGACATACATTTTGTGTTTGCATCAGTCATTTGGTCCTTTGCATTGTTTTTTTTTCTGCTAAAAAGAGCTTCCCTTTTGAGTGCTGTTGCAATGCCTTTTCATGTTTTTACAGTTAGTGTATTGTTCTGTGTTGTCACTTGGATAACTCTTGTATTAGATGTATTGTCTTCAAAAATAATTTTTCACTCAGAATCTTAGATGACACAAATTTCTCTAGATTCATTTGCTATTTGTAGGCATCAGTGCCTAATACAAAATTTGTTCTTGGTAACATTGCAACTGATAAAGTGAACTTTAAATTTTAGCTTTCTACATTGACAATTCTTGGGAATAATGAGATGTTCCAGACTTCTATAAAATTACTCCAAGAATTACATATTTTTCATATTCACTTGATTCATAGTGCCCTTCTGCTTATCTAGTCAAAAGTTGCAATCCACAAGTTAAATTGGAAATAGTCCCTTGGCTTTAATCTTAGGTGATGCAAAGTCCTTAAAATGCCATTGCAGCTTTTTGTTACATTATGTAACATTTCTGAATTAATTTCTAAGTCGTTTTCTAATTCTGTTTCTTCTCTGTGCTGAGGTTCACAGGTCCCTTACTCCTGAGTGTGCAACCTGGAAGCAGAGTCAGAACTCCCAGTTACTAATTTACTGATTTATATGGGGGGTAGTGATGTGTGTTTGGTTTTTGTGCTTCCACAGCATCAGACAGACCCAGCTGCAGTTCTGTGCCTCGGGAAATTTTTGAGAAAACTTCAAAAGTGCATTTCATTTTTCTGCTTTGTGGGGTTTTTGTTGTTTTTTTCCTTGTTATTATTGAAAACCATGTTCATGGCAAATGCTCGTCCATGTCACCGTGCTGTATTTGATTTCAAACCAGGTAAATGTGAGAGTAACACTCTCAGTTCTGCTTTCCCTTTTGAGACATTTGAATATCCCTGCAAGCTTTGGCAAAAGAGTAAGGCTGAGAAAAGCCAAAGCCTAATATTAAAAGTTTGCTTCTGCTCTGCAGAGTTTTTCCCTGTGGAGCTGCAGGCTCAGGACTGTGAGTTCATCTCAACTTTAAATCTTATCTGTTTACATCTAGAGGTTTTCATTGTTTCCATGTTACTCTAGACTTTTTTCATATTACTTTCTAGACATGGGTTTGCTAGTAAGATATAACACATCCCAAGATTCACAGCTGTGCAGCTGCTTTGGATCTGCCCTCTGCATCTCTACTTTCTGCAGTTACACAGCCCAGTTAGTTCGTTCTCTACATTGATGAATACACATGAGAAGATCAGGGGTTTGGTTTGGTTTAGTGGATGTCTCTGCATCAGTTCTAGAAGTAGGTGCTAGAACAACAGCAGCGTTCCCCAGGGAGAATGAGTGCAGTGACTCTGAGCTCTGCCCCTTTGGGTTCTAGTTGTGGTAATTAGCTTGGCCTGTAGGAAATAATTTAAAGCATGTAAATTTGAAGGCTATTATTACGGATCTAGAAACCCTGAAGTTAGGGTACTTGAAGAGCAGTTACATAGAATCCGTTTTTACACATAATTTAGGTTTTAAGTTATTGCAAAAAACTATATATTTTTTCCAGTATTCTCTATTAGAATTTCTAGTTTTAAAAGGAACCGGAGACACCTGTTTTGAAATCTCTATTCTGTCTTCATATGTTTTATTGCTAAGGTGAAGGATGCAAATAAATAAGTTTATTCTGTTATTAATGGATTTTTTTTTTCCCTGGGCTGTGGGTTTTGTTTTGTTTTTGTTTTTTTTCTTACAGGAACTTGCCACTGGCTATTGCAGTGTCTATGCCGATTGTCACTGTTATCTATATTATGACCAATATAGCTTACTATACAGTGCTGGATGTCGAAGCCATTCTTTCTAGTGATGCTGTGGCAGTGGTAAGTTGACCATGTGGTATTTTGCTAAATTACTCACTTTTCACCTTTTAGGGATGCATTTCGTTTTGAGGAACAAACCAGGAAAAATCCCTAGTTTATTATAGTACTTCACTGAATACAGGAGGACAGAACAACTCATCACGAATAATTTAATCTTAAATAGAAAAGTGGTTAATGAAATCACATAGAATAATAATATATTATCAGATTTATTAAAACAAGCACAGGTGCATCTTGTTAAGTATTTTGCAAAGATGCTAATTAGACTTGTGCACTTTGAGCTGGTTGTAAATTAGCCTCATTAGTACATAATTGTCTTCTCTGTTTCTTCATGCTGCAATATTTAGAAAGCTGGAGCAGTATACAGAACAGCATTGAACTGAGCTGTGTTCTGTTGGGCTAATAATGAGTGCAAGGCATGTCTGTAAGTGGATGTGTTGCAGCTCAGCTATGACAAAGTTTAGCCTTGTAGCTCCTTTTTAATAACTTAAATCACTCTCTTCCCAACCCTGTATGAATTCCAACAACTTTTAATATTTTAAAATTCATTATTTTTGTATATGGGTGGAAGTTTGAATCCATTGAAATATGTAAGCTTTTTAAAGTAAAAGCTCGTCAAAACATGTTTTATGCTTAAAGCTAATCATTAAACAAAAGTGAAGGGTGTTTGGTTTCGGTTTTTTTTTTTTGCCCTCTAGCTAGTGAATAAATTGAATAGTTCTGGCTACTATATCCTTTAGAGTTGAGACTTGGAAAATTTAATCTTCTTTTTGGTTATTTAAATGGGAGGAAAAGAAATAGATTTCCTCCCTTTTAGATTCCAAATTGGCTTCTAAAATTTAAGTAGTCAGACAATGGACCGAATTTTAAATACATCCAAACGAAGGAAGTATTCGCTCTGTTCCCACAGAGGATTACTATGATTAAAAACTGGCTTAGAAAATCAGCAGATTCTTGTTTCAGGTTTCCGCAGAAGCACTTACTTGACTTTTTCAAACTTGAGAAATATTTATATTTAATATAAATTTTCAAAATAATTTATGGTAAATGTGGGCTGTAACTTATTTCAAGTGTAATTATGCAGATGGTTATTTCAAAATGTATTGAAAGTAAGTAAACTTTAATTCTTTGCCTCTTTTTAGATGGAATATGGAAATACAAAGTTGTCATAAAATATATTGTGAAAAACTTGATAAAACACTTCAAAATGAAACAAAACAAGGACAGAAAATACTTGATTTTGAATAAGCACATGCTAAGGGGTAATAAAATCTCCAGGAATATTTATTTCTGTTGTAGGCTATAGCATCCCATATGAAGTACCTTCCAGTTACTGATAATGGAAGTTTTAATTCTTGTCTAGAATTAATTAATCTAGACAAAACTAAAAGCCGATACAGAGTCCACTGTCCATACTGACATCTGTAAAGCAACACACTATTGTTTTTTGTCTAACAAAGACGCAGAAAATACACTCCTTGACAGTGGTGAAATTCTCCAATCCAGCCTATTCCCTAAGAGTATTCTGTGCCTGCTCTACTGTTACTGCTCCTGCCCTTTGTCATCACAGACGTTTATACAGCTGTTAGGTGAATGGGATGAGGAAAACTGATCTGCCCTGGGAGATTGAGGGAATGATTCACTGTGGGTCTGTCCAATTTGTGTTGCTGTACAGAGCAAGTGGTAGCACTGCAGCAACAATTGGTGGCCAGATAAAGGAGGGATGATAGATGCCTACGCATGTGAAACCCAGGCCTAAATTTTTATGACTTTATATACACTTCATTTACTTGTTCTTTGACATTGTTCTTGACCAAAAGTGAGTATACATTTATTTGTGTGTGTATACATTAGTGTATATATGCATGCTGTGTAATTCTACATGAAATTGTAATACTCAGAACTGGACATATCAGGTCTTCCTCTCTAGTATAGGATGCATCCAGACATGGAGGAGAAAAAAGGAAGACTTAAGAATAATATGAAGTCCTTAGTCAGTCTAATAGCATGCAGAGATATTGGGTGACCAGGATAAGAATGAAAAAATGTTTGCAATTTCCAAAGTTATTAGTGGATTTACTTCTTGTGCTAGTTTTAGTGGAACTGAAGTGAATGAATGACTTTTGAAGTCTAGAACTGTGCTTTTTCACTAGATCTCAGGATTGCCAAATGTTGCACTTAAAAACTTAACTAATGTTCTGTCTAAAGGCATTTTTACTGAGATGACTCATTGGCTGGCAAACAATGGTCTTCTGATTGCCACTACTTATATCCCTTTTAGAACGATAAGATGAAAGTGCAGCTGAGATTTAATACTTAACACATGACTCATTAGAGATTTCTTGTCATCGCTGATATGACTTTAGTTGTCCAGCTTTGTGAAACCAACTTTAAGCTTGATCTACTAATACTTTAGCAAGTAATGTGGACCTCTGTAAGGATGTCTGTAGAGTGGAACAGTTGGCACTGGGGATGTGATGCGCATGCACTGTACGTACTTCAGGGGTGCATTTTACTTTGGACTACCTCGAATGAGCTCCCATGAACCGAATGCTTATGTGTGGTGGGAATGCAGTAGCTATGTTCTTGAAGTTCATCTTTCAATTTAACCTGTTCTAAAACAGATTAGCTCCGATGCTAAACAATGTGAACCAAAAAGCAGTAAGTGGCGATAATAGGGAGAGTTGCTTCAAAAGTGCACTTGCAGTCCAAATTGAAACACTCATAGTGCACCCATAGTTTTCTAGCAAATAGGGAATGAAAAAGTGCTAATGACTGTAATGGTCTGTATTTGAAAACCCTCCTATAATACAGAAATGTAAAAATCTTCATGGTGAAATTTCTCTGGGTAGTGGAAGAGAATTTTATCGTTAGTGGAATCTTTAAGAAGTCGTATGTCATTGTGATCAGTGGATGAATGAAGAGGAGATAAGAATTAAGCCATTCGAAAAACTAATCAGATGAAAATGACCCACTTTGATCTGCTCACATATTCTACATGTGATACAGAATGCTGTAGTTTCCTTATTACCCCCTATGTAGTTAATAGGGTGAAAATTATGATAATGATTTTTTTTTTTTTTTTTAAGAAACATGGCAGTAATATTGCTGCATTTTAGAGTCTTTTGTGAACTAAAGCAGCAGTTAAATTTAATCTTTCCTTGTTCCTAATTTGGGAAGGAATGGAGTAGCTTTCTCCATTTCAGTCAAGAGGATTTGAGCTGGAAAGATGGGGGAATAGAAATTGGAAATAACTAATTTCTAAATGATGAGAGTAAAAGTTTTAAGTACAAGAAATACTAGTAATAGTGTATCTTTGGACATCACCTTGCATACTGTTTTTCTTGGTGGCTGGGAGGTGAAAGAAGTCTTACCAAGGGCTGATGTGGAACAAAATTATGTCCTTGTTTTACTTCAGTATTAGCTTCATTGTGGTATAGTATTGGAGCTAAGAAACGATGTGAGCCGATGATTAGCTTCTTTCCCGGAGATGTTCAAAAAACATGTATACGTGGCTGTTCAGGACATGGTTTAGTGGGCGTGGTGGTATTAGGTCAATGGTTGGACTTGAGGTCTATTCCAACCTTATGATTCTATGAAACTTATTTTTTTAAGCTCTTTTTTGTTGAAGTAATTCAAGTACTACAGCAACAGCTAGCTTAGAAGTTCTGCAAATGCTCTTCAGACAGTTGCTGATCATGTAAAAATCACTTCCTTTTTCAAAGATTCCTGTCAGTTTCACAGTTGACTTCTGTTTTACCTCATTATGCAAACCATCGCAACCCTTACTGTTAAGTTTTATACATATGAAGCAGTTACTCTGTAGCACAAACACACTTAAAATAAATGAAAGCAGAAACTTTATCTCACCTTCCCCTGTCACTGAACAACTATTTTTTTGCATCTGGGAGAGCCATTGTATTTTTTGTTTGGGCAGCTGGCTCCACAAGCACTTTTTGGGCTGCTTCATCTTCTAACAGGAAGGAACATCCTGGCTGCCTGTGTATACCTTGTTACCTGCTTCCTGTGTTTGGCGTTTTTTTGATTTGAGTTCATACGGTAGGTGATATTTGGCAGCTTACTACTTTTACTTGGAAAAGCTAAAAATTATTCCTGATTGAAGCAAATAGTTGGTTGTCCTGCAGAGCCAGCTGTCTTTTTTTCTTGGAGCTGTACAACTTTGTTAGTAGATTTGGGATAAAGATGGTGACTTCACTTGCATCTTGGAATACTGTCTGGCTAGTCCAGCACTGATCAGCTCAATTTACCCTGGTGTACTCATATGCTAGAGCAGACTTACTGTACTTCAACATGTCCTCTCCCTCAATGAACGAGGAATGTGGGAGGCTGTGTGTTTTAGCTGTTTATTCTTCTTTGGTGTATAGTTTAACAAATGATGAGGCTCTTTCTTTTAACTGAATTCAGTCAGAAATCTTAGACGTTTTGGGTGTTACGTCTCTTCCTTCATTTGGCCAGTCACTGGCTTCTTTTCTGAAGAGGAAAATCTGCTTGTCTTTGGCTGCCAGTGTCATGTCCCCCTTCTGTGCTTGCACTGGCACCTCCCAGTAAGGTTTCTTTGGATGAAATGCACATTCAGTACCTTATAATGGAAGAACTCATCATTAGAGCCAGGCGCTCTTTTAGGAGAGAGATGTTTGGTAAGAAATTTACCTTCTTTCTTGGAGCTAGCTGTAATTCACTACCAATGCAGCACTCCTGTTGCTGGCATTGGAAGACAAACTGAGCCAGAATTTGAAAGAGTGCTACGTAGTTATTTTCAGTATGAGAAAGGTAAGAGGCTTTGGAAAACTGAACCCTACAGCTGGCTATTAAAAATGTTAAGAACAGGATAAACACCTGAGAACATTTAGTTCAAGTATCTTCTGCACCCTCCATGAAGACATAAGTGAAACTGTTTTACTGTTGGAGCTGGCATCTGTAAAGTTTGTGTGGGCCATGCAGAAGAGACATGTTAGATGCAGTAGACATGCAATATATTA